GCCCGGAAGACCCACACCAGCCATCGTATGCCGGCCGTGAAAGCCTTCGACAATACAAAGGAATGTAAAGTTGGTTTATCTGATCAAGATTAAAATAGATATGTTGTTATCTCTGGTAACCCTTAATGGACTTTTGCTGATCAGAACTGAACGATGAGTCTTTAAGGATTTGTTCATAGGTAAGATATGGGAAGAAGAGATCATTTGTTGTATTTTAAGAGAAGGTGATAAGTTACTAAAACTGTTCATACCTGTTGTGATGAAGGAGGAAATCATTTCTTTATATATTTTCTTTTTTTTTTATTATATTCTGATTTCTTTTCTATTTTTCTTTCTTTTTCTTCTTTTCAGCACTTTCTATTTTTTCTTTTTTCTTTTCTTTTTTAGTTTGTATTAATTTTTATCTTAATTGTAATGTTCAATAAAATTATTATTAAAAAAAAGTAGTACCTGCTCATCAAGAAATAGTGGTAACAACAAACACACTGAAGTACAAATAGCAACTCCATCTTATTTGGATTCAGCTTCAGCCTGTACCTTCCCATCCAGGGTCTCTCATAACCTCCAGGCACTGGGAAAGGACAATGACAGCATCTCCCTTACAGACTGAGACAGCAATGTATAGTTGAATATCATCAGCATGCTGGTGATACAGTACCCCAAACTGTCAGATAACCTCACCCAATGACTTCATACAGATGTTAAAGAGCAGGGGAGAGAGGACTGACCCCTGCAGCACCCACATCAGGGGCCACTGAGCCTACTTCTCCCCCACTACAATACTGTAGACTAAAACTACCCACTGAGGAAGGAGCAGAATAATTGTGAAACAATGTATCTGTGATAGAAGGCATGAGCGGGGAGGATTCTGGAATGGAGCTTCAAGGTTACAGGGTGGGGGAAGTGACATTCCAAGCATCTCCTCCGCCCCCAGCTGCACTGTGTGAAAGTAAGGAGGAAGAGACTGGCCCCTCCCTAAGGACTTGAGGTTATAGTTGCTCTCCTTGGGGAATTAGAGTTAGTCTGGTGAGATTCTGTCTATTAGGTGCTAGCTAGTAAAGAAGTTGAGCTGATTTCTGGACTATCTCGTGTGATTCTTGGGCTGAACCTGACAGTATCCTATGCCTAATCCCTGCAGTTAGTCTAACAAGATAGCACTGTCAATGAATCAAAGGCTGCTGAAAGGACCAGCAGGACCAGGATGCACATACTACCTCCTTCCAGGTCTTGCAACAGGTCATCCAAGAGATTGACCAAAGCTGTCTCTGTCCCATACCCAGGCTAAACCAAGACTGAAAAGATTTTGTGCTGCCTATCACTGTAACTCTGATTCTTCTTCAACATCCTAACTTCTAAAACTTGCTTATGTTTTTACATTTTCTTACCCTGACTATTCTAAACTTCTGACCAATTCTTGTTGCGCTGTAGTATTTTCTTCCATTCAAGCAATGCTGTCAAAATGATTAATATCTACTTTTATTAAAATTATGCAGTGCTTCCTTTCAGATCCAACACTGGCTCTCCATCCATTTTTACATCTATTCCAAGCTTCTTGTCCTTATCTTTAAAGGTCCCTCAACTTTCTATCTTTCTATTTCTATCCCATAACTGAAATGCTCAGTATATGATGCCACCTTCCTTTTTCTTCCTTCAAATTCTTCCACAACAGGTTTGGTTACTTACCTGTAAGTTCTTCAAACAATCACTTGAGAATTTGCATGGACTATATGCCTGTATAGAACCTGTTCAGAACTTTCTAGAGTTTACAATATTCTTTGGTGGGAGCCCAACCTATTAGACCTTCGAGATAGGCCAGTTCAAGAAACAGACATAGCAGGGATAACTGAAATGCTCTTCGCTGTAATAAGGTAGAATAACAACATCTTGAAGGACAAGGAAAAAGAAGACTGATGCAGGACCTTAATCTATTCATCGCAGAAAATCGTGGGATTGAAGAGGACAGAAGAAAGAAAAAAAAATATTTCTTTTGCTTATCAAAGGATTACCTGCTAGATCAAAGCCAGTTGCCAGTACATCTGGCTGAACCAGAGAAAAAGGAAATCTTGCCACTAATACCTATAAGTCACACTCGAACTCTAGAATTAGGAAGAGTAGGTAGGGTAGAATTAAAATAGTGCACACTTATTGATCTTAGATCATAATCTATGCACGTAAACATGTTTAGAGTTAACAGAGATATGACAGTTAAAAACAATCTGGCTCAACAGGAGCATGGCTCAACAGGAGTCATGCAGCGGAGCAGGGTTCTCACCAAACAATTTTGAAATTCTAGGTGGCTCTAAACAAGGCTCTTCACAATGTCTAAATTACAAAGACCACAATGAAGAACCACCTTCTTTTAACCTCCTGAGCCCCACAGAAATGTAACTTAGAAATTCTGCTTTTCATACCAGTCACTGTTCTTTTTACCACTAGATGAACTGCTTGTGGATCCAGCCCGATTGCGACTGCCTTTGGAATCTCCATAGCTTTCCCTTCGACCACCAGGAGAGACACGTTCAGCTGAGTTGGTTCTTTTAATAGTGCTAACAGAAAACGAGGATATTGATTAAAGACATATAATCAATTAGTCTGAACCTATATATCAAGCTCTTCAGCAGTATACCTCCCAAGCAATTATACCAGTGATTCAGCAGGCACCCACCCTTTTAACTTTTTGGAAGGCCATCAAGACCTGGCTTTTTACCCAGGTACTGGGATAGAATGAGGATATCTGGAGCTTGTTGTGGGGCATCCCAAGGGGATGACTGAGGGGACGGGTTTTTGTTTTTTCATTTTATGGTTTATGATTTTATAATTATTAGTTTTATTGTTGTTAGGCACCCAGAGCTGTGTTTAAGATGAGCATCCATACAAATCTTTCAAACAAACAAACAAATAAATAAATCTCTTTTGAGTTGAAATTGCTAATCAGTAATTTCAAACTGGAAGGCAAGCAGGATGGACATGGAGAAATGTGTCATTAAAAATTCTTAAACATAACATAACCTCCAGCAAAAGTAAAATAATACAGGAACAAAACTGATTTACATGGAACATATATACAAATCATACTCTGATTCTGATCATTAATAAAGAACAAGGATTCCTTGTTTTGATTTGAAAACTATTCAGCTTTTACACATATCCAGAGACCTTTCCCCATGGCAGAAATTAACAATAATCTTGCTTTAGTTAAGAATTTCTTTCTTTCTTGAAAATACTGCAGATCTTATTAATAGATTATGCACAATTTTGCTATATTGTTATATAGAAAATATAGGTAGTCCTCTGTTAATGATGGTAATTGGGACCAGCATTTCTGTCGCTAAGCAATGTGGTCATAAAGTGCGACATCACACGACTGCATTGCTTAGCAACAGCATTCCCAGGAGTCCCCACTGCCATCATTAACCAAATCTTTGGTCATCAGGCGAGGACCCATCCCAAATGAAGCCATTCCCAGCTTGGTCCCTCCCAGCCCCGAGCCTCAGTAAGGTAAGGGACTGCCTCCTCTGCCTCCTTTTGAACTCCCCCCACCTGCCTATCTCCCCCCATCTCCACCCTTTTGGTAACCTGCCTAGCCACTGCCTCCAGCTGCCCCTGCCACCCAGCCTTGCATGCCCCCGCCACACTGTGCACCACTACTGTACCAGCTGGGGCCTTCTTTCACCAGGGCTTTTCTTGTGCCCTGCCCAGGGCCTCTGTTCATGTGCCAGCCAGGGCCTCTATTCATGCCCCGCCCAGGGCTTTCTTTCACAAAGCTTTCTTTCTTTCTTTCTTTCGGTGTGAAAGAAGGCCCCAGCCAGTACAGTAGTGGCATGCAGTATGGCAGGGGGCAGGGCTAGGCTGTGGGGGCAGCTGGCGGTAGTGGGTAGGTGGGTGGCCAAAAGGCGGTTGTAAATGTGGGTCATATGCCCCTTCATTCAGCACTGTTGTAACTTCAAACAGTCACTGAATGAATGGACATTAAGTGAGGACTACTATTATATAATGTTCTATTTCTCTCTAACATTCCTTAATTTATTTCTTAATCATCCTGGGCAAAATTGTTCCTACCATATAGCCTCCTACCCCAATACTATTGCTCCAGAACTTTACAACACCTGCTGTTAAAGAACTTTTGAAGCCCTGTTTCTGTCCTTCATCTTGAGAATGTTACTTATTGATCATATCCCATACAATCACATCCCTTGCAGTTTAGAATTTAAAAATTAGAATATAATAATATTTCTAAGTAATATTTAAAAGTGGGGACAGTGAAGGAAAGGAAAAAAAAGAACACAGAAGGCCTAGCTGAACAACAGCATATAACATTAGGCACCTCTAAATTTCAGTGGGGTGAACATTCTAGAATGCAGGGAACAACACAGTGAAAGTCTTCCCATTTCAATACATCCAGAAGCAAGTCTATAATGGTGAACATGATCTGTCAAGTATCTTGGTCTAAAGTTGTTTAGGGTCTTATTTATCAAAACCAAACCTTAAACCCATCTCACTAGCTAATTGGGAACTAGAACAAAGGTTATACAAAGATATAACATGTGCATGGGCAGGTGCCCTACTCAGCAAACTGACCATCAAATTCTGTACCAACTATACCTTTAAGACAAATAGCAGGGTTAGCCCTGTACTGAATGCATTACAGTAATCTAAATATTACAATATGGAAACAACAATAGCTAGGGTGTTCTTACCCAGGAAAGTGTTTAGTTGGATACCAATGAGGCTAACAATTGTCAATCCTTGGCACCAATCACTTGGGCCTCCAGTGACAATAATGACCATAGGAGCAACTACAAAGAACATACCTATTCTAAGGAAATGCAATCTCTTTTAGAACAGGGAAACTCACAATTCCCACATCGGAAACCACCTAAACACAAGGTCTCCAGTTCATTCAGATTCCATCTTAGTTTATTGGCCCTCATCCATCCCAGAACATGCACAGCCTCTCTTGGTTCAGATGTGACAGAGACAGAGCTGGGTATCCTCAGCTTATTGACGACACAGTGCCCCAGATCCACAGATGAACAACCACAGCCGTTTCATATAAATAATAATAGTAATGAGGACAAAATAATGATTTGTGGCATCTACAACATAACTACCCAATGCTATTTTCTCAGACTTTCCCTGCAAGTAAGAGAGGAATCATATAACACAGTGCCTTTGAACTGCCAACTGTGGATACCACACCTGACTGTATCAAAAACTGCTCAGAGATCAGACAGAGTCAACAAAAAGTAATCAATGCAACCATGGTTAATGCTGTTCTTAAACCAGGCCTAAAACAAGACTGAAATGTGTAGAGATAATCAATGTCCACAATCAACCCCCTTTAGCAAATTCTTCTGCCTTTGCTTCCTACATTGTTGCTCCCAGAACCCTAGCAGTATATTTTGCTCTAAACTTTTGTCAAGCTCTCCCTTTTCCTCTAGTTTAAAACCCTAATGATGAAATTCATAAGGCATCTGCCAACACATTCTTCCTAGATGTCATGAGATGTAGCCCATCTTTTGTCAGGTGTCCTTTATGTGGGTAGTACTGCCAAGATTGACAACCAAACTCTTCTCAGCAGTGCCATTTACTGTATGTAGTCAATTATTCTCTTCCAGGATCATGTTCTCTTGTCTTATGCCATGACCCTCAACTGGAATGATTGACAGAAACACTACTTGCACTCCCAGTTCCTTCACCTTTCTGCCCAGGACCTCAAATCTTAGGAGATCAACTTAAAGTCTCTTTTGGCTGTGTTAATCCCACACAAATCAGTAGGAATGGATAGTTATCAATGGGTTTCAGGTACTTCAGCAACTTCTCTGTCACATCTGGAAATAAAACACCTCCCATATATATCAAATTTATATCACCGCCCAATTCCCCCTCAAGGAGGGACTCTGGGGGTTCACAACAAAACAAT